TCAGCCTCCCAAGTATCTGGGACCACAGGTGCCCGCCACAACACCTGGCTATTTCTTTGGTTGCAGCCGCCATTGTTGTTTGGCGGGTCCTGGCTGGATTCGAACCCGCCATCTTAGGTGTATGTGGCTGGCGCCTTAGCCACTTGAGCCATGGGCGCCGAGCCCCCAGACCTGTACTTTCACATTCCTGAGCTTGTGCCCATGCTGGATGCTGTGGATACTTCACACACCTTATGCATGTTCAGAGTCTCCATTTCACTGTGATGCTTGCTCATGACTTGACTTAGAGCCATCATCATGCTACTTCTAGTTATAACGGTGGAGTCAGATTCCACCCCAACTATGGGCTCCTTGATAGCAAGGTCCAGGAGGGGTTTATCTTTGAATTCTCTCATGCCAGCCCAGGGCCAGGCACATAGTAGGTGCTCAGTAAAATACCTGCCAAATGGATGCAGAAAGGCAGGCCATGCTGGCCTCAAAGGGGGATGTAAAGAGTAAATAGGGTTGCACAGAGCCAGTTCCCCACCCTTTATGGCCTGGCCCATCCTAAGTGCCTCCCGGGCCCGGTACTAGCAGACGGACAGAAGCAGTAAGGCCTGGGCTCCTTGAAATCACCTGCAGGCCCCTCAGCGTGGCCAAAGCCTGGGGCTAGAGGCAGGCCTGCAGCCTCAGGCCTGGCACCCTGCCCAGCTTTCATTAGCTTTGCTGAGGAGCAGGCGCTACAGCCACAGTCCCCGCTTCCGGGGGAGATCCGGGTGGGGCTGGGGCCATATGGTAAAAAGGTCCTCTGCCTCGACAGAGGCACACAGCAGGAGCCACGCCCTGGCTCTGACCTGCCTTCTCTGGCTCCATCTAATTCCCTGTAAGATCCTGCACCCCCTCAGCCATCTTCCCTGGGCACCCCTGAACTCAGCCTCCTGGCCCTGGGCCCCTTCCCGCCAACTCTCAGGCCTAGCTCATCCTGAAACTATTTTCCACTGGCTTCCCCCAATCTTTGCCGCAGCACAATTTTAGGATGGGGGGCGGGGAAGGATGGAGGAGGCGAATAGGAGGAGCTTGAGCCATGTGGGCGTGGCTAAGATGAAGGCGGGGCGGTGTGGGGGGCGAGCAGGCCCCTCTGACTGGTCACCTCTGCTCCAGAACGGGCTTCAAAATTCCATTGATTCCGCCTTGCGTGGGCCCCCAATCACTGTCCTGACTTGCAATTGGCTGAGCTTCTAGGGGGGCGGGACTCACTGGGTCCGGTCGTGTTAAAACTGTGGGAGAGGCTGGGTTGTCTCTCGGGTGGAGTCTTCAGACGGCTGGTGCACCGGTCCCCGAACATCCTCCTGCTTCAATCATGGCTTGTGTGAGTGTGAAGACCTCACCCCAAGCTCCAGGGGATAGGGTGGGACAGACTGCTAGGGAAGAGGGGGAGATCGGGGACACATTATAGTCCCAGCTGTGAAGTCTTGAACAAGTGCCTCCTCTTTTATGGACCTCAGTGGCCACATCTGTAAAATGGAAGGGGGTGCCATGGTCCTCCAAGGCCTTCTCTGACTTAAGAACTTTCTGGATTCCTCTGGGGTCAGGCAGCACAGTTATTTCTGCCAAGAGCTGACATTCTGCAGCTCTCTGAGAAGAGGGAGTGGGAAGGGTGTGGCCAACTGGGGTGGGGGGACTTTGGTGGCACTCAGACCACTGTCCCTTCCCCCTACTTCACCCCAAAGAGCCTTCCTTCCCCTCCCCCCTGCAGCTGTCCCCAGTCACCAGGCCAGAGCAGAGTCACCTCTCTCTGCTCCAGAGAGCTCTGAAAAGTTGCCAGGACCTGAGTGAGGCAGGCTGCCCAGGATGGGCCTTCCTGGGGCAGGGGTGGAGGGAACTTATGTCCAGGTTAGTCAGGTAGGGGCTGGGGGAACCCCTCTCCCCCCCATCACTGGCAAGCTGGGAAGTGTGTGGTAAGGGAGGGAGAAGGAGTGAAGAATCTTCCCCAGGCCCCCAGGGAAAGGGTTCAAGTTTCTGGCAGAAAGAACCACTAATACCAGTTAACGCCTGCCCACTCTCCCCAGGCGCCAGTGGGTAGCAGTGCCCTGCAGTGTGCTCAGTCTTAACTCTGAGCTAACGTGGCTGCAGCTCCAAAGCTTGGTCACTCTCACTTTTGCAGAGGGATTTGTTTTTCAGGGTGTCCTTTTTAGCCCCTGGGCCTCTCACCAGGCCTTTACTTCTAGCACAAGAGCAAATCCCTCCATTCAGTGTGACTTTGCTGCCCCACTCCAAGCCTGATTCTGTGTGCTAAGGGAAGTAATGGGGCACTGCATCCCAAATCCCCAAGCTGATCTGCAAAATCTCCTACAGCCTGTCTCCTAGAGCCAGATCCCCTGTTACAGACTGAAACAGACCCTGTTGAGAATAGGGACTTTCCCAGGACCACACATATAATCAGAGGCCAGAGCTTGCAGCTCAGTCCTGTCCCCCAGGCTTTCTGTTGGCCTGGCGAGAGATCCAGGGTGGGAACAACCCCACTCCCAGCAGCAACCACTTCAGGACACTGCAGGCAGCAGCAGCGGAGCCCTTGTCCTCTAACCCGGCTGGGCGGGGTCTTGTCTGCGCAGGGTCTTGTCGCCAGCAACCTGAATCTCAAACCTGGGGAGTGCCTCAGAGTACGGGGCGAGGTGGCCCCTGACGCCAAGAGGTAAGGGGCGGAAACTGGGAGGTGAACGGCTGGGGTAAATGGATGGCTCAGAGCCGGAGGGTCCAGCCACGCTTCTGGGACGGGTGTGGCTGGTCAAGCCCGCTTCTCCTCTCCGGCGGGCAGGGGGTTAACGGCCAGCTCCCGTTGCTGCGTTTTCAGGGTGAGTCACTTCCCCCGCGAGGTCTGGGCGCCCCTACCACAGTCGCCCCCTCCCTCCCAGCTGGAGCCTCTTAAACTAAACCAGCTGCGGCCTCGTCATCTACCTTACCCAGCTCCTTCCGGCTCTGGGCGGGACCTGAGGTTGGGAGGGCGGGGAGAGGGAATGAGAGGGGTGTCAACCACTGCCCTCCCTGGAAGTCGCTCTTTCCTGCATCAGGTCATTCACTCAGTCAGTCCTTCATTCCTTCATTCATCATGTATTCAGCCAGATGGCTTATTTTCTCAGCAGCCATGTGACCTTGGACCGGTCAACCAATCTCACTGAGCCTTAGTTTGTTAATTTGTATAACAAAGTGGGAGGCAGACTGGGAAGGTCAGATGCTGGACAGTTCACTGATGACAGGGATGATCAGCTGCTATTATTAAGAGCTGCCTACTTCACGTGCACTATCAATTTCTTTCTTACCAAACCTTCAGAGGTAAGTATTGCTATTATCTTTCTTTTTTTCTTTTCTTTTCTTTTAGAGACAGTCTCATTTTGTTGCCCTCGGTAGAGTGATGTGGCATCACAGCTCACAGCACCCTCCAGCTCTTGGGTTTAGGCAATTCTCTTCCCTCAGCCTCCCGAGTAGTACTACAGGCATCTGCCACAATGCCCTGCTATTTTTTTTTTTTTTTTAAAGTTTTTGGCCGGGGCTGGGTTTGAACCTGCCACCTCCGGCATATGGGGCCAGCGCCCTACTCCTTTGAGCCACAGGCGCCGCCCCACCCAGCTATTTTTTCTTTTTTTTGCAGTTTGGCTGGAGCCGGGTTTGAGCCCGCTACCCTTGGAATATGGGGCTGGCGCCCTACTTACTGGGCCACAGGTGCCACCCAGTATTGCTATTATACAAATGTATTACTATTATTTGTTCATTCACCTCACAGTTTTTTGTCTGTTTATTTTTTTTGAGATAGAGTTTCACTTGTCACCCTCGGTAGTATGCCGTGGTGTCATAGCTCACAGCAACCTCAAACTATTGGACTCTTGATTCTCTTGCCTTAGCCTCCCAAGTAGCTGGGACTACAGGCACCTGCCACAGCACCAGGGTATTTTTAGAGACAGGGTCTCGCTCTCGCTCAGGCTGGTCTCGAACTCCTGAACTTAAGTAATCTGCCCAACTCGGCCTCCCAGAGTGCTCAGATTACAGACATGAGCTACTGCACCTGCCCTCGCCCCATAGTTATTGAGCATCTACTGTGTGCCCCACTCTGTACTGGGCACCAGAGACACAGGGATGTACAAGACAGGACATTTGCCCTCCCAGACTCTCCTCCTCTGAAGGGAGTCTCTAAACTTGACCCAAAGGACTAGGATGCTAATGTCTTCAAGAGTTTTGGGCCATCAGCATAGCAAGACCCTAGAGAGCCTTCCTGTGCAGCCCCTGTGGTACAAACAAGAAAACTCAGTGGAAGTAAGGGGCAGGGACCGGTTCAAGGTCACACAGCAAGTAGGCGGCAGGGCCAGAACTAGACTGGAGATTTCTCATCTCCCTGTTCAATGAGTTCTCCCAGCTGGGTACATTCATGGGGTACTCAGTGGTGGACTTGCCAGTTCAAGGGGGCTGGCACTGGCCGGGGTGACCTCAAGCCCTCTGTTATCCCCCAGCTTTGTGCTGAACCTGGGCAAAGACAGCAACAACCTGTGCCTGCATTTCAACCCCCGCTTCGATGCCCACGGGGATGCCAATACTATCGTGTGCAACAGCAAGGACGGCGGGGCCTGGGGCGCTGAGCAGCGGGAGGCTGCCTTTCCCTTCCAGCCTGGAAGTGTCGTGGAGGTGGGTGAGGGACTGGGAGCCGGGGATAGGGCACTGAGTGGGCTGATGCTGGGTTGTGTTTGATGGCTAGAGACATAGGCCCCATCTCCTCCCCCTTGTGGCTATGTGATGGCCTGGGAGTGTCATCCCCTTTCTGAGCCATCCAGGAGCTGGCACTATGTCAGAGCACATGAAAAAGGCTTTCGGGAGGGTCTATAGGCCCAGCTCACTGCCTTTCTCCACCACCAGGTGTGCATCAGCTTTGACCAGGCCGACCTGACTGTCAAGCTGCCAGATGGTTACACATTCAAGTTCCCTAACCGCCTCAACCTGGAGGCTATCAACTACATGGCAGCTGATGGTGACTTCAAGATCAAGTGTGTGGCCTTTGATTGAAGTCAGCTGGCCCGTGACCGCTAATAAAGGCAGCTGCCTCTGCTCTTCCTGAACCAGCCTCCTGTGTCATGTGTGTATGTGTCTAAGAGGGGTCCCCAGACCCAGCCAAGCCCTGCCCCTTCCTTAACTTCCAGTTGCTTCCTCCATGTGCATCTTCTAAGTTCCCAAGTCCCTCAGACCAAGCACAGTGAGTTCAGCACACAAGAGGGGACTCAGTGACCACTGAATATAACAAACAGTCCTTGCCCTGAAACTGCTCTTAGCCAATGGGCCTCAGCACATAGTAGGTGCTCAAATGATGTTGCATAAATGAAACCAATGAGGAAGAGACAAGGATTCATGCCATGGCAGAAGAGACGGAAGGGCCATCTCATAACCAGGCCTCTCTCATTTGCCTGCATGAACTAGAACGGTATTTAGAGTTAGACAAGGGGCTGCCAGCCCTTATCTGGTGAGAGGCCAAGTTTACTGTAGTAAATGCTCAGTCAGTGGATAGAACAGTCCCCTCCTGCACTATCTTTTTTTTTGGGGGGGGGACAGTCTCACTCTGTGCCCTGGGTAGAGTGCCATGGCACTGTACCTCATAGCAACCACAAACTCTTGGGCTCAAACAATCCTCTTGCCTCAACTTCCCAAGTAGCTGGGACTACAGGCGTGTGCCACAATGCCCAGCTAGTTTTTCTGGTTTTTTAGTAGAGTCAATATCTCACTTTGGCTCAGACTGGTCTTGAACTGAGCTCAAGCGATCCACCCACCTCAGCCGCTCAGAGTCCTAGGATTAAAGTCATGCGCCACCGTGCCCGACCTCTTTTTTTTTTTTTAAGAGACAAAGTCTCACTATGTTGCCCAGGCTAGAATTCAGTGACTACTCTGTCACAACCCCTCAGGCCCCTATGGCCCTAGTCTTGATCACTGCAGGAAGGAACCGGGCATAACTTGGATTAGAAGTACAAGTTTGTAGAAGGCGGGCTAGCCCTTTTTAGGGTAGCCCCAAGCGACCTCCACACTAGCCTTTTATTATTGAGACCGTACAACAGGTGAGGGGAGTAATTAACAAATGACTATGTGCTGAAGGCTCAGGCTCTTTCTCCACAAGGAGCACTTGGGGATGAATGGCCTGAGGGTCCACCCCCAGCTGTAAATCATCTTGCTCAAAGGTCATCTGGCTCTTGGCATCCTCTACACTACTCACAGCCACAATCATCATAGCATAGTATAGCTTTGAACTCCAGGGTTCAAGTGATCCTCCTGCCTCAACCTTCAGGGTAACTGAGACTACAGGAAAACTCGGCCACACCTGGCTCCCTGCACTACCTTTTGAGATGTTACTACTCAAATTTGAAGGGAAGGAAATGGTATCTGAGTGATAAAATGACTCCTGGTGTACCAGGTCCACCTAAGCCCAGATGGGCTCCCAAGCCACAAACCATCTTTATGTAGAACAAGCCATCTAGAAACTGCTGGCTCTGTGGCCCTGGGCAGGCTCCCCATCTGAACAATGGGAACATGGGTGATGGCCCTCCCCATTGCTCCCCCCCCCTTTTGAGACAGAGTCTCTATGTGACAGAGTTATATATTGCCCTTGGCAGAGTGTCATGGGATCACAATTCACAGCAACCTCAAACTCTTGGGCTCAAGGGATTCTCTTGCCTCAGCCTCCCTGGTAGCTAGGATTACAGGCAGCTGCCACAACGCCTGCCTATTTTTTTGTTGTTTAGCAGGCCCTGGCCAGGTTCAAACCCAGCAGCCCCAGTGCACGTTGCTGAGCTACGGGCACTGAGCCAGCTGCCCCGTTTCTGTGGTAGGAGGAGCTGGGGTTGGGGTGCTATGTGGGCCCCTGTAAAGAACCTAGAGGTAGAGGCCCAACTTGCCTCCAGGCTCCCAAAGGCCTCCCTCTGCGCATGGCCTCTGCCTTCCTTTGGGAGCACAATGCAACTCACTTGGCCTAAGACAAGTCTCACCACTGATGGGACATGAGCATGAGCAAATGGCTTGGGCAGACCGACCATGGCAGAATGACTGCTACCCTGAACTTTCTTCCCACTTGCTGCTGCAATTCCCCCACCTCCCTGGGAAACAGCTGCAGGAACTGAGCTGAAGTTCTGGAAGGTTTGGAATCAGAACAGTCTGACTCCCCAGACACGGTCTCCTGAGGCTGACTGGGTGAGTGGATAGGGCTTGGCAAACCTCTCTAGGATGGCTGGCATCAGGTCTGTCTCCTACACCCTCCAGCCTCACTGTCCTCATCCATGAGACAGGGGCCATTCTGGGTGGATGATTTCCATCTCAGCGTGCTCTCTGGGATTGAAGGAGCCGCCTCTATGAGCAGGCCAAAGAGGATGGTACACACATGCCCGGGACTCCTGTGAGCCACACCCAATCTCCTGGCAATCCTGGGACTCCCAAGCGGCCACCCAGAGAGAAACAGATTTGGAAGCCTGGCTGTGGGTAGGCCGCCCTCTGCTGGACATCAGAGAAATTGTCCCTAGTTGCCTTTCTCTGGTGCCCACAGTTCACCCACACCGACTCTCCCTGCCCTGGCTAAGCTTCCACAATACTCCAGGACCGAGACCACAAGGGACAGAGGAAAGCCCTGGAGCAGATAAGAAGAGAGGTCACTGGGCATCACTATGTGCCCTTGTACCAGTGATTCAACCTCTCTGAACTTCAGTTTCTTCATCTGTCAAATTGAGCTAATACTGTACTAGCATCTACTCCGCAGGGTTGTGAGGACCAGCTGAGGTAATGTATAGCAATGCACGGTGCCTGGCACATGGTCCGGGCTCTGAATGCTGGTTCCCTTCACCCTGTGAAGATGTGATGTGTCCCAAGAGCCTAGGAACCTGAGTCCAGAGAAGTTAAGTAGAGCTTTGTCATTAGACCACCTGGACTCCATCCTCAGCACCAGTTTTTTGACCTCAGGCAACTGACTGTACCTCTCTGAGCCTCAGTTTCCTCCTTAGGAAGATGGGGATCATACCTCAAGGAGATAATTATAAACCAGGTACAGTGATGGTGCACACTTGTGGTCCCAGCTACTCAGGAGGCTGAGTTAGGAGGATTGTTTGAGCCCAGGAGTAGAAAGCCAGGCTGGGGAACATAGTGAGATCTTTCCTTTAAAAATCAATTTATGGCTCGGCATCTGTGGCTCAAGTGTCTAAGGCGCCAGCCACATACATCTAAGGTGGCAGGTTTGAATCCAGCCCTGGCCCGCCAAACAACAATGATGGCTGCAACCAAAAAACAGCAGGGCATTGTGGCAGGCGCCTGTGGTCCCAACTATTTGGGAGGCTGAGGCAGGAGACTCGCTTGAGCCCAGGAGTTGGAGATTGCTGTGAGCTGTGATGCCACAGCACTCTACCCAGGGTGACAGCTTGAGGCTCTGGCTCAAAAAATAAATAAATAAATAAATAAAAATCAATTTAAAGGCTCAGTGCCTATAGCGCAGTGGTTAGGGTGCTGGCCACATACACTGAGGCTGGTGGTTTCAAAACCGGCCTGGGCCATGCTAAACAATGACAACTATAACAACAACAACAAAATAGCTGGGTGTTGTGGCGGGTGCCTGTAGTCCCAGCTACTCAGGAGGCTGAGGCTAGAGAATCACTTAAGCCTAAGAGTTTGAGGTTGCTGTGAGCTGTGATGCCATGGCACTCTACCAAGGGCAACATAGAGAGACTCTATCTCAAAAAACAAAAATTTTATTTATTTATTTATTTATTTAGAGGCGGAGCCTCAAGCTGTCCCCCTGGGCAGAGTGCCATGGCATCACAGCTCACAGCAACCTCCAACTCCTAGGCTCAAGCTAGTCTCCTGCCTCCGCCTCCCAAGTAGCTGGGACCACAGGCGCCCGCCACATGCCTGGCTACTTTTTGGTTGCAGCCATCATTGTTGTTTGGCAGGCCCAGACTGGATTCGAACCCACCAGCTCAGGTGTATGTGGCTAGTGTCTTAGCTGCTTGAGTCACAGGTGCCGAGCCAAAAAACTCCCAAATTTTAAAATGAAATATAAAAGAGATAATCATGTAAAAAGCTAAATAAATGGCAGCACTATTGTTACTCTCTTTTGCTCATTATCTTCAACATTTGTCAGGGGAATGTGCCATCCCTTGCTGTACTTGCATGTAAAAGTAATTTCAAGGAGAAACCAAGCCCAAGGGCGACACTTGTGGCTCAAAGGAGTAAGTAGAGCGCTGGCCCCACATGCTGGAGGTGGTGGGTTCAAACCCAGCCCTGGTCAAGAAAAAGAAACTAGGCTCAAAATGGTGATAGGTATTTTGGGGGTTTTTGTTTGTTTTTGAGACACAGTCTCACTGTTACCAAAGTGCCATGGTATCCGCCTAGCTCATAGCAACCTCAAAGTCCTGGGTTTAAGGGATCCTCCTACCTCAGCCTCCCAAATAGCCAGGACTATTGGCACTATAGTTATAATCTCTGGGTAATTCTTTTTATTTTTAGTAGAGACAGGGCCTCATTCTTGCTCAGGCTGGTCTTGAACTCCTGACCTCACACCTCAGCCTTCCCAAAATGGTAGGATTACAGACAAGCTGTGGTGGCTGTTTTTTTTTGCCCAGGGCTGGGTTTGAACCCACCACCTCTGGTATATGGGGCCAGCGCCCTACTCCTTTGAGCCACAAGTGCTACCTCAGTGATGGCTGTTTTTGACCATGAGCTAAAGTAAAGGGGTATTGAGCTTCTGAAATCTGGGGGATGTCCTTGGGTGGGGTTGCCTTCTTTGTCTTCTTTCCTGGAACAAAGAAACCCAAGACTCTCTGGGAAGGAAGAAGTGGAGCAATAGTGTTGCTTGAGGTGGTAGACGCCACTGGGAGCACTGGCAGATGAGGCCTCCTTGAGCCACTGGGCAGCCAGCTCTGGTTAGATTGAGCTAAAAGGGCCAAGCTCCCAGTTTTCTGCACACAGTCCTGTGCAAGCAGCCGCCTCCTTACTGGTTTCTTCTCTGTACCAGACTGGAAGCTCTGGCACCATGCTGTGTACATGGCAGTAGTCAGGGGAGTGGCTCTGGGTGACTTTGGTTAAATCACTTCTCTTCCCTGACTCCCCAGTTCCTCATCTGTAAAACAGGGATGAAAGCAGAACCAACCTCACCGGGAGTTGTGAGGACTGAGATAATCCACTCGAGGCTTTGAGAACATTCCTCAGCACGGAAGGTATCTAAATGAATGGACTGTGAAGAGGGAAGGGACCCATGAAGGGGCAGGTAAGAGAAGCCAGCTTGTGATTGGCCACATTCAGCAGCAGAGCCTGCACTTTTGATCTATAGCCTCTCTGAGTGGGCTGGAACCCTAGTAAACTGAGGAGTTGGCAGCAGGGACTGGAAGGAGGCAGCCCAGCTGCAAGAAGCTCTATGGGCATCCTGGGGGGTGGGGGCTGTCATCACTGCAGCCAGGGCAATGCTTCCATCCAGAGATGCCAAGGCTGGCAATCAGGCATGGCCACTAGGGGGCAGAAGGGGCTGGATGGGAACAGTTGTCCAGCACCATGAAGCCCTACACTCAGACAGACTGCTATGCACCCAGCCACGGGAGCTGAAAGGCAAGGCCCATAGTTTCCTCTCAGCACCCAACATAGAAACTCCAAGCAGAGAACCTTCATGGAATGAATTCAGCAGTCATGGAATGCTGCACCTACTATGTGCCTGGCTTCTTCCAAAATTCACCATCAGGGTCTGCATCTTGCCTTCCAGAGGGGGCATGTTAGCTACTGGGAAGCCAGAGATGCAGATTCAAGTCCCAGGTTTGCCACAGACTCTCTCACTGAAATAACAGTTCCTTTATTTTTATTTTTATTTATTGGTGGGGGAGGGAGGCTGCAGAGCAGCACCAAAGAGGAGAGAAAAAGAGAAGAGAAGAGAGGAGAGAGAAGAGAGGAGAGAGAAGAGCGGAGAGAGATGAGGGGAGAGAGA